AGCGATGGCCTCCAACCTACTAGCGATGGCCTCCAACCTAACACCAACGGCCTCCAACCTAAGAGGGATGGCCTCCAACCTACAAGAAAACTCCGCAGCAAGCGCCGGCATTATAAATCATGAAGATCTCAGCCCACTGTGAGCGCAGAACAGCATTCTTGGGCTTCTTGGGCAAACAATGCGATAGGACACCATGGCAGAGGTTCAGACTAGTCTGTGAACTTTGGCGAAAGCTCAATGGAAAAAGACAACAGAGAAGCCTTTGCATGCAAAAGTTGTCATCTTCCACAGCCTGACAGCAGATCTTTGCCAAGCTGGGAGTGACCAAAGACATAATGTGACTGACATACTCCCATAATAACCAATGAGTAGTTGTCGTACCAAACGCAAATAGAAGAAGGTGGAAGCCAAGTCACTTTGCGCACAGAAGCATTCTCAATTAGGAAAGAGCTGGATTTCCAAAGTGAGCACTAAACACTGATTTTGTGCATGGTTCTTTCTAAAATTCAAGGAACCAAATGAATTGTGCAAGCGCTTCTTCAAGGAGGCATGGGCTATCCTGCGTCCAGCAGGTAGTAGCTTGCTAAGCCCTTAATTAAGTTTAGGTGCCATCGTCGCTTCCACGCATGTACGTTTGCATTCTACCCGCACAGACACATGCGTTATGCGGCATGCGTTTACTCACGAGCCACACGCACACAGCTGATTTAGGAAACACATGCTCACACAAGAAAGACATGCCGCAACCGTTGCTTCTATATTTTCTGCGCGTTGCGGATTCGTCTTCACCCGGCGGGGTATTTGGACAGTTGGCGTTTGGAATGCCAGGGTTTGACGTGGCCATTTGTTTGAGATCACTTGGAGACTCGTGAACGTTACCTTTTGTGTTAGCGTGTCTTTTTTCGAGACTCCTTCCGGGGGCACAATGTCGATGCGGGAGATGCGCGTGAACACAAGGTGCGTAAGTGAACGCCGCAGCCTGACTCGGGGCGTGACGACTGCAACCCCGAAACGACCAGGCGCTTGGTGGCGTTGTTCCCAAGTAGGCGCCTACTTCATTAAGTAGGGCTAAAGATTGCCTTTATCGAGCTGAAATGGGCCCTGCAAGTGCGAAGATAACTGAGCACAAAGCTGAGAAACTCACTTGGTACCACTTCGAATGCAACAGTTCGTTCTTCGCCCCGGCCGCAGGCAAAATGTAGCAAGTTGTAAAGACGTGCGACGCTGTATGCGTTGTCCGGTCCGCACCGTGTTGCGAATGAAGCACCGTGTTCCGCGCTATGTGAACGTAGGAGTGCATCCCAGTGATGGTGGGCGCCTATTCGCGCTTCCTGGAGTACATGCAAAAGGCAGCTGTGTGGAATTTACCCTGGGCCTTGACTTCCGGGAAATCGGGTGCTTTTCTGAAGATTCTGGCCGAGCAGAAGAAAGGCAATTTGAAGCCCATGCCCATGTTGCAGCAGCTCCCATTCTTGATTCTGCCGAATATGCCACGGAGTTCCGCTATTCAGTTTCCACCATTTGTCCTTCAAGATTATGAGAATGGCATCCGAATTGGAAACCAGGAGGGGCTCATGAGAAACCATACATTCCAGATGTTCAATTGCGCATATCGCGTTGCGCAAACCCCATCGGGACTGTGCCGCCAGGAGAGCCGAACTTTGACGAAGCTCGCCAATTTTCAGTTGGCCGAGTGGGCCCCGGAAGTTCACCATGTGCTTCAACAGGCGATCGTGCGGCTTTATTGTTTCTAATAGCTTCTTGTTACTACTAGTAAGGCACCTGTTACTACTAGCGATGCACTTGTTTCTAATAGCTTTCTTGTTACTAGCAATTAGTTGCCGCTACTTCACTTTCCCTCTTTCCCTACCAATCATTAGTGCAAGCGCTATCCTGCGTCCTGTCAGCTACTTGTTAGCTACCTCTAGTGACCTCCGCGGCCTACCCACCCCACGCGCGCTACTAGCTACTTTAGGCAACAAGGACGCTATTAGAAACAAGTGCATCGCTAGTAGTAAGAGGTGCCTTACTAGTAGTAACAAAAAGCTATTAGAAACAAGTGCATCGCTAGTAATTAGTAACAAGTGCCACGCTACTAGGAGCAAGGACGCTACTTTAGTGCACTCGGAGGATCCAGTCCCAGCTATTTCTTCCGCACGTGGATTCCACGAATCTACCGCGTCAGGGTCTGCGGTGTTCTACCGTTTGAATTCCGATGTCGTTTTCTGTCAAGACTTGTGATCCAATTGTGAACGATACCCATCCTATTTGTGACATGTTCCCTCCGGTCCGTGCGTAGCGGCCTAGCCTGCTTGACTTCACCCCTTTGTTGGCATCAAGCGTGCGCCCCTGCTTCTGTCTATGTTAGTCCTGGACGCACCGGCACATCTGTGAAATGCAGAGACTACTTTGAAGCATTTATGTCCAATTTCCGATGCGTTGGCCACGCCAAAGCCGTGTTTTTGTCCGGGTGACCTTTGTCCAAGCGAAATATGCTAGTTATGCGGGGTGTCTTCACACTTCCAAGCCGCCTCACACTTCCAAGTCGCCAACAATTCCTCAAGTTGAAACAATGCTGGGGTGGTGATGTACCTTCGGCTTCAGGACAGTTCAGTTATACCAGTCATGATGTTGATGGTGTTGTGGTGCTGGTTTGTTGAGAAAGTGTTGGTGTTCAGCTGTGTTGTCTCGTTGGTTATGCTGCGTCAGACAGTTCTGGTGTAGGGAAAGTGTGTGCCATGATGAAAGGAAGAAAGGAAGCAAAGGAGGAAGGAAGCAAAGAAACGCAAGCAAACAAACCAGGCAGAGCTATGCACTAATGAGAAATGCTGAAATGCTCTAAAAGAAAGTGCAGAAAGATATGTCTTTAAGGTGGTTCAGGTCGTCTCAGGTCCTCTAATAGCAAACTATAGACCCCTCTTCCTCCTCTCTCTCTCTGTGTTTCTATTAGCAATGGTTTCTACTCGGGATGGCCTCCAACCTAAAAGCGGTGCCCTCCACCTAAGAGCAATGCCCTCCAACCTGCTAGCAATGACCTCCAACATGCTAGCGATTCCAACCTACTGGCGATGGCCTCCACCCTAAGAGGGATGGCCTCCAAGGTCTGTAAGGTGGTTCAGATCATCTCAGGTCCCTTACGAACGTTAACACTGCCGCATATCCTAGTTTTGTATCGTCCGGTTTTCGCTAGTTTAACTCATTTTGACTCAGCAGCCCTTGTAGCAGAAAACATTTTGCAAAAACATGTTTGATACGCTAATATTGTTCTTAAATATGTGCATGTTTTTCATCTCTTGTTCTTGTTTTCTCTAGGCCTTTAGACCTTTATGTTCTTTCCTTCCTCCCCCTGTCATACTGTAAAGCATGTGTTGGAGGCCAGCTAAACTCAAGATCAAGTGCCAAAAATGAACGTGTTTCACCACGTGTTATTCTTATTCGCCCCTTTGACCTGAAAGAGTCCAGGTGGGTTGGACCTTTGATGAGGTGTTCGAGATCTACTCTCAGCAAGGTATTATCCGTTTTGCGCATAGGAATGACGCAAACAAAATGAAACAGGCTGCTTGTGACTGGGTTCAGAAACATGCGACTCGGAGGAAAACAAAGATGGAGCATTGAACCAAGTAGTAGTCATGGAGTTATGAAGATATATGTTTGTTCTGTATGTTGATTTCAGTTGTGAGGTTTTGGTGTTGAAGCACTTGTTTTGTTTGTTCTTGCATTTCTTTGTCCATCTCTCACATGTTAGCAGTCTTCTCAGACTTCTCAGGAAGTTCTTTGGAGAGCTTGGATTCCAAGAAAGACGGAATGTTTGCGTGGTCAAGGTTTATACAGCGAAGAGCTCCAAGCCTTTCTCCGACAACGCGATGGATGGAATGGTCGCCTCCTTAGGGGAAGGGGCGGTGAAGAGGAGGGAGTGAGCACGGAAGAGGTCAAAAGAAAAAGACATAACTATAAGTACTACGGCGTACTACGGTATAGACTAAAAGGTTTTAATACGTTTTTAGATGGGTTATGGTAGGTAGGTGCTCTTTTGTCATTAGAACCTATAGGTGCTACAGTAGTGCTTTTAAGGCGGCCGCCCAGAAGGCTTTCGGAAGAGTCGCAAGAGGCACTTCTTCCTGCAAAGCGCCGACCGCGTCTTCCCAACCTAAGAGCGATGGCCTGCAACCTTGGCC